TGCATACGTACATATCACCTTAGAGACCTGTATCTTTGTCCCTCCCAAAAGATGGCTGCATTGTGCTTGTAGTTATTAGTAAAACGAGTCTAGTCTCTTTCCTGATATTTTGTTGTGCACGGGGTTTGTTCTACAACAGACGCCACGGATGCTTCCTAAGCGTCAAACGGACAGCTCCCGGAGTGAATTGTGTATTCTCTCACCTTGATACGCAGCGCTCGTTAGAAGTTTTCATATAATACGTGGCTTATTTCCGCCTATTGTTCATCTATGGCACATCCTCTGCGTGGTGGTTCCGGTAAAGACTCGCCAGGTACGTTTTAGCTTAATACTGATGTGTTACTTAAAGTCTCGGTGTTAAAAGCTTGAACGTATCTGCAGCGATTGTTACATACCATCTCTTGTACATTTCTAATGACGGCAATATAGTATCGGGGTATCGGGTTTCCACATATAAATTTACTGAACTGCGAGTTTAAGCACGTTGTACCCAAACCTACAACTCAAGGTTGGCACACAATACTCGTATAAACTATATCAGAGCACTTATGACCAATTTCGCTACGCAAATGATTTTCAACGCGCACATTAGCTTTTCGAAAGTGCCGAACAGTGAATCCCGCCCGTTGCCTTGTCATGTCAAGTAAGATGGAATCAAAAATCACAACCAACTACAGCGAACAGTACAACGAGCAACAAATTAGCCTGGTCTTGATACTGTGCCATTACGCATGCTTAAACCCAAAATGCCACCCATACCAGTGATGTTCTTTTTATGAGGCTATGCCTGTGAATGTATTCATCGCCAAGTTTTCACCTTCATTCCGTATACTTCACGGGTATATGTTATTACTACGACACATATTTATTGGTGAGAGAGTCACGATCGTCGGCGCCTCTCTTTTCTCTGTAAGCAAATAGGCATTCTGTGCATCGAGGTTGTTTTTGTGCAGTCTTTCCACGCGGCTTGCAGGTGTTTCTCCAAACGTACGGAAAGGCTTTGCCTGGATCGTGTATGTGACTATCTTGGTACACAGAACGCACAGTCTCTTTTCGAGTTCGAGGGAAGAGTTTAACAGAAAGTGTCGAGAACAGAGCTATGTAGATCGGCGTCAAGCAATGTAGATCGGCGTCAAGCAGCCCATTTCAAGAAGAAAAAGTTACGCCCTGCCGAATTTTATATCGCTGTCTAATCGAATCGTGGCCTGGAACTATAGGCGACGTCGCGGGCTATCCATGACTCGCTATCACAAGCACGGGCATCAAGGCTGTGGCAATGTGAAGGAGAGTCATTAGACGTCCTTACAATATGAGAAGTAAAGTCTTCGCGGTTTAATAGTATATTTGCCCAAGACGGCTACTCTCGGCTGTGTTGACCACCCCTGGCTGCTGGGTGGTCATCCAGCCGATTTTAGCTGCTCATATGCACACTCTTGCGCTTATGTATATGTTTTATGACATTCTGGCTTTTCGCAAACATAGATACATGATTGTCTTTTCATGCTTCCTGTTTCGACATCCACTTGTCCGATGTAAACATCACTTCAGAGCTATAAGGCCGACTTTTGAGATGAATGTAGTGAACAGGATCATCGGTCTGTTAAAAACTGTGCAGAACACATGAGCCAGAGATGCCATCTCCAACATATAATCGATGGCGCTATATCAATCACACCAACAACCCCGACACCCATAATCCCATTTTAGATTTATCCCCAACATGATATACATATTCACATAATTTAATATTCGTTGTTTAGTATTCAACCCGACATTCGAAGTAGGTAGTGTGCAAGTCGAATTTTCACAGACATGCGGAAATATAGATGTACTAAGTAATGAAATGACGCGCACATTCCAATGCACGTTCTTCCTGTCAAAGCAATCTAAATTGTTATTCTGTAGTTCATATACACTTTAAAACAAGGCCACATCTACGTTATAAAGCACCCTTCCGACCCAAGCAGATAGATCCAAACGGATGCAATCAGCACACAGAAAGATTGTACACCCACAGATGTACCAAAAAGTATGCTTGTATATAATTACTTTATTGAGGTCAGGAAATAACTTCTGCATATTGTGGATCATCATCTACGAATTTAAATCTTGCAACTGTCCAAATGGTACCCTCGACACAAATTCATAGGCAAGTGCTGAAACCATTCACACCGACTTTTCCAGCAAATACTAGCCTCAAAGCTCTACTACGTCGATCGTTAATATTCAAATGTATAACTAAAATGTCAGACTACAATCGGGGACTCAGTAGCGTCAAAGCTCAGGGACAGAACGTCTTACTGATAGTGGATACAAATATCCGGCTACTAAGCCACAAACCCCGACCATTGTAGATCCATCCATGTCGCAATTGTATGAAAGTCGGCATTCAACAGATATGTGGTCTAAAGACACACTGAACGCTAACCGATTAATCAATGCATTTTTCCAATCTTCCTCCTTAACATGATTATATTCCCCGATACATACTGATTATTCATATCTTCATGCTCTCGTACAGTATGTCGTTGACCAAAAACTACATATTAAACACCAGTTTGATGCAAATCAAACTTGGCTGTACTCGGAAGACAAAACTTGTTTTCTACGACTCTAAAGCTATCATAGCTTTTAACATTTGTACATATATATAATCTAAAGCTATCATAACTTTTAACATTTGTACATATATATAAACATATACAAATATATATAACTATACACGTATATATATATGCATTAACACACAAACATATATCCATATATACATGCATATATGCACACACACATATATATATATAAATGTATATATTGATATATATATATATGTATATATATAGATGACGAAATCACAAGGGAGAAGATCGTATAAATATTGAGCGACAATTCTTATATAAATATATACACATGGAAATATATAAATACATAACCAAATAGATCCAAGACCGTAAGATAAAAAACTACATTTTATTCAAATTATCTGCATATTATTTGTAACAGTCACGCAACTCGATTTTGCAATAGAAATCCAGACATCAAAGCAAGTGAATTTGTATGTATGACCACAACCGGAAACTCGAAGGCTTCGAAGCTCAGGGACAAAACGTCTTACTGATTTTCCAAGAAATAAATTTCTCTTCTTGCCTTTGAATAGTTTATCCGACCATTGTACGCCAGTTTATATCGCAATTGTATGAAAGTCGGCATTCAACAGAAATGTGATCTGAAATCACAATGAACGCTAACCGATTAATCAATGCATTTGGTAAAATGTAACGAGCACTTCAATCACAAAAACCACATACACTACAACAAACATATTAATTACGAGTCCACAAACCGTGCAAAGAACGACAGTGACATATCAAACCTTGCAGATATAACTTCATACTGTTCGTGTTTGATAACCGGACGCATCAAAATAAACTTCTCACTACTAATACGACAACTCAACCTCGATATCAGGCATAACTGAAACTCGAAAAGATAAGGGTTATATGCAACTTGGAGCTCGAAACGAACACCCGAAGCCACTGTTTATACACAAATAATCTATCTGTAACGACGCAGAGACAGAGTGTTGTGCTTCTTCCAGTTCTGGCGACGACCTGAACCAATGACCTTGTTGTATAGATGGCCCTTGTTGATTCCACGATTCTTGCGTCCAGCAGACGTAAGTCCACGCTATATATAGAGCACAGTGGTATTGAATTGAGAAATGAGCATGTGCAAGCAGTATGTCACGTATGTCAGATAAGTACTCAACGGACTACTGATATTGAGCTCAGGCATTCATCGTTTTACGGACAAATGGGCGAGGGTTGTCGATCACGGGCCTACGAATAGGCTACACGACTGACGTGCAAACATCTTTAAAGGAAGCATCACTGCTCAATCAGTACAGGGCGTGGTACATTGTGCGTAAATTATAGAAGCAGCGTATATGGAGCATATGCAGCTGTATCAACACGTAATGAAACCAAATACTTTCCCACGATACTATTGTATCTTATCCGTATCCGTACCTGTTCGCGACGCTTGTGCACAGGCTTGCAGATCCAGTTCATACTGGGGTCCTTGCGGATGGCCTTGTGGTGAATATCAATCATGATAACCTCGTAGTACTTGTAGGTAGAATCTTGAGTGACCCAGTACGAGTTAAGCACGCGAAGGTTTCCACAGGCACGTCCGGCACGCATCTCGGCTAGAGCCTGGTGCGACTTCTGCCACTTAAGCTCGTTGATACCCTCACCTCCGGGCTTACCGTAAGTAATACCCTTGGCGACGGGACGCTTGCGACCTCCACGGCGCACACGCACACGGTAGATAACGACACCTATGTATGGTTTTTATGTGTGCGTGTATTTTACATTACGATCAGATTTCAATCATGGCTTCGAGGCACTAGTTGATCACAACATCTGATGTACGTAATGGTTAGTAAGAGGGGGAAAGTGATCCCATGATCACAAGTGTTGTACCGTGTGGAATACAAGGACACGCGACTTATTTTCAAGAGTTCTCTATTCTCTCCAATGAACGTAGTACTGACGCATGCAATGCGTTCAACCGAAATCGAGAGACATTCTTAATATACTAATAAAATATTCTAAATGAGACCTTGATACACAATGTGCATATTTAAACAATAAAATTAAAAAATACCTTGCTTGGCCTTGTAACCTAGACGACGAGCCTTATCGGGACGAGTGGGGCGAGGAGCTCGGTGGATGGAAGTGAGCTGTCTGAACTGCCACGCTCGCATGCGCAGAAGGAAACGCAGCACATCGCACTGCTTACGCTTGTATAGCTCCTCCAAGTATTTGTAAGCACCCATGTTGATTGATTATCTATAATATATATAAATAAGGAGCACGGATGGATGTGTACATGTTAGGAGGGTGCTAAATGTTGTGTTTCGCAAACGAGATGAAGTTTGGAACTGACCCGACGACTGACAATATTCTGGATCTGGCTCTAAATTAAGCGTGCAAGAACGCTATTGCTATCAGCTGCTGCATCTCTATTTCATAATTATGCTCTATCTTGTCGAACATGCACTCTACTGGGATAAAGGGGACCATGTATGAACACTGCTTTAGACACTACTTACACGAAGGGAGCTCGTAAAAAGGGTTTGTATACTGCTGAGGTGATAGTATTTATTTCTCGCTGTGTAATTTTTTTAACTGTAGGTACTCACCACCCCCGACCCACAAGCGAGACCACACAGCACTGCACGTGTAATATAAACTGCTATGTATATTTGGGTGAAATATGAGTCTAGTTTTTTCTTCAATCATGAATATAAAAACTTAGTTTACCAGCGGAATTCTCTTGTCTTCGAAATTGTGCAAAAGACCCTCAAAAAGACCCCCCTCCCCTACCGGCTTACGATAAAATATTACCGCTCAAATGCGAATTTAATTTCGTTTGAAGATGCGCAACGGTTTCAACTCACCGACGACTCGCCACAATCTGAAAATCAATACTTTAAAATGAATCGTGCAACAAGCTTAAAGAAGTGCTAAGTAGCGTTCATTGTTCGTGTGTCCAGCAGTAGTCTGTAGTCTATATAGGTTATTGATAAAGATCTATCGATTCATCCGTGTGTAATTGATACATCACGGACACGTATGGTGTAAAGGACACATAAATATTTAGGATTGTGTCCAACTGTTGTATTGGACCTGTCTGACAGTCTGGCAAACGTAGCTGACGTTTCCACGCAGCATACGGACAAACAAACACTCTTCCCACAAGATTAAGACCAATTCGAAAGCGATATACTACACTGCTGTGTTTACCGCATTTTCGCAGAAGCATACATATATACACCCATATATATTGGTAATGCTTCGGTGATACGGTTACCATGGACATTCCAGATCAGCATCCGTCGAAAGACGTATACAGCGCAACATCGGCTAATCTACCTAACGGTGCTGCCTCAATCGATCCTCTCTCCGCACTCGCCAACATCGCATCCACCATGGCACCTGTTGTGGAGAACGGCAGTAATTTCAACACAGTGAAACCCGACACACCTCTCGAATCGGTGGACGCTAGTGAGAATAGTGTAGGACTGGAGTCAACCGAATCAGCCAGTAAAGACCACGAGCATGTGAACGGGGTGGGGGAGGCAGAAGCGCAAAATCATACGGAGCTATTGGGTGTGAACGTACCATCTGCTAACAATGTAAACGATGATGAAGAGTCATTGCGAATATCTCAAACTGAACCAGAGATGAATGTAGTAGCGGGGGTTGACACTGCTGAGGCTTGCCCTATAACTAGCACTGGTGGTGCTGTCAGTGAATCTGGTATGGCTGAAAGTAGTACTAAACAAGTGGCGGTAGATGAGTCTAGTACAAACAATAGTGGGGGAGGGGTGGTGCTAGATACAGAAAACTCAGAGGCTAGTGCAGAGGTTTCAGAACCCGTTGTGCAATGTCATACGGCAATTGAGAATGGTGAAAGTGGAAGTGTAGTGGCAAATGAGGTTTCCAAGGATTCCAAGGTTAGTGCAGAGTCTGTGAACGATAAAGGGGATGATACGATATATGAGACTAGTACGCCTGTGAAAGAGGCGGAGGGCACTGTGGTAGATGATGTTGAAGCTAAGGAGAGTGAGGCGGTCGCGGTGCCTGAAACAGCGGTAAAAGAACAGGGGGCGGTCGCTGAAGCCGAATTGGCTGTGCAACAAAAGGCTGAAGAGCAAGTGAGTGAGTCGATCGAGGCTGGAGCAGAGGCGAAGATTGAGGCTGGGCAGGACACTATTGTTGAGGCAAGTGAGGAGGCTGAACGGAGGGCTGGAGAAGCCAACGGGGCTAAAAGGAAGGTGAAAGAGGCTGAGGGGAAAGCCGAAGAGGTCAAAGAGCCTGAGGGGAAAGCCGAAGAGGTCGAAGAGCCTGAGGGAAAGCCGAAGAGGTCGAAGAGCCTGAGGGAAAGCCGAAGAGGTCGAAGAGCCTGAGGGGAAAGCCGAAGAGGTCGAAGAGCCTGAGGGGAAAGCCGAAGAGGTCGAAGAGCCTGAGGGAAAGCCGAAGAGGTCGAAGAGCCTGAGGGAAAAGCCGAAGAGGTCGAAGAGCCTGAGGGAAAAGCCGAAGAGGTCGAACAGCCTGAGGGAAAAGCCGAAGAGGTCGAACAGCCTGAGGGAAAAGCCGAAGAGGTCGAACAGGCTGAGAAGAAAACCAAAGAGGTTGAAGAAGCTGAGAAGAAAACCAAAGAAATCGAAGAAGCTGAGGAGAAGGCCAAAGAAATCGAAGAGGCTGAGAAGAAAGCCAAAGAAATCGAAGAGGCTGAGAAGAAAGCCAAAGAAATCGAAGAGGCTGAGAAGAAAGCCAAAGAAATCGAAGAGGCTGAGAAGAAAGCCAAAGAAATCGAAGAGGCTGAGAAGAAAGCCAAAGAAATCGAAGAGGCTGAAAGGAAAGCTAGGGAGGATGCGGAAAGGCTAGAATCGGAGGCAAAAGAAAAGGCCGAGAAGGAGGCGATTGCGGCGGCGGAGTTGGCGGTACGAGAAACAGCTCAGAGGGAGGCCGATGCAAAATTGGCGGCTCAAGAAAAGGCCCGACAAGAGGCTATCGACAATGCGGAGAAGGCCGCTGCGGACCTGTATGCGGATGAGGAAGAAATGGCGCGGCAGAAAGTCGAAGAGCAAGAACAGCAAGATGCTGAATGTAAAGAGACTACCACAGCAGATTCTTCCGACAACGCCGAAGAACAAGAGCAAGAAAAGACTGAGCAGGCGCCAACGAGTCCAAACGAGAAAGCGTTCGGCAGTGAAGCTGTACCAAAGAGAGACTCTAGTGTCAGTCCTAAGGAGGAGGAGAAGGTTGTGGCACATGAGGAGGAACGGGAAACGAAGGAGCGTGAAGCGGCGGAAAATGATCGTGAGTCTAAAGCTGAGGCTGAAAGGTTACGAATTGCTGAGACGGAGCATGAAGCGGAAGCGGAAAGTGAGATGATACACAAAGCGGCGGAAAAGGACCGCGAGGTGAGGGAACAACAAGAGGCTGATGAGAAAGAGAGGGCCGAGCGTGACGCTGAAGAAGCCGAGGTGAGGGAGCGTGAAAAAGAAATTAAAAGGGCAGCGGAGGAGGAAGCGCTGGAGCGAGAGGCTGAGGAGAAGAGGTTGGCGCAGGCCGAGAATGACAAGCGTACGAGAGAACAAAAGGAGCGAGAGGCTGAGGAGAAGAGGTTGGCGCAGGCCGAGAAAGACAAGCGTAAGAGAAAACAAAAGGAGCGTGAGGAGGAAGAAAGGGCTGAGAAGGCGAAGAAAGAGCGCGAAAGGAAGGAGCGTGAGGAGGCGAAGAAAGAGCGCGAGGACAAAGAAAGGGCCGAAAAGTCGAAGAGGGAAGACAGGGAGAAGGCCAAGGCGGCGGCCTCTACTAGTAAGACCGGCGGGGTCAAGGCCGGAGCGCACGAGACCACTAACCAGCTGCTCTATGTGGAAGTCACTGTGTTACCAACGATGATGAAGCACAAGGCATGTATTGTGTGTTGTGCTCGTATGTTTGCTTTGGAAGATGATAAGACACGGCATGAACCATGCCACAACTCAATTTCGAGTTTTAGCTTTCACATCTGCCGAGGACACCAGCGAATATTTAAAGGTGACCTATATATCAGGTATTCTATGTATGCCGTGTCGAGTTCATCGCAGTGCATGACAACGACTGAGTTATCATGTACGAATCTTTTACCCGTGATCTGATTTCTAACACACCTGAACTATCGCACTCAGAATGCCTGGCCCTTTGCAGAGCCCGTTGATTATAAGGGTCTAGGTCTCTCTGACTACCCCACTATAGTCAAGAATCCCATGGATCTGGGTACGATCCGCAAACGTCTTATATCGAAGTCGTACACGTGTGTACAGGAGTGTATAGCCGATATCAAACAGGTGTTCATAAACTGCCGGCTCTACAATCCCCCGGGTACTGATGTATTTGTAATGTGTGGTCAGGTAGAGAAGATATTTAATCAGAAAATCGTTAAAATGCCCCCTCGAGAGACTGTTTTGTCGCGGGAGGACGAGGCATTGATGCGGAATCCGAGTCACAAAGGACCGGCCAAAAGTAAAGTAGGGCAGAAACGACCGGCAAAGTTTAGTGCTGGTGGACCCGCCAAAAAGGTGCCCACCCCATACAGGCCACCGAATGTGCAGATGAAGTTTTGTTCTCAGCTGCTAGATGAAATGTTATCAGCGAAGGTATGTGTTAATGGAGGATTTTCTGTTCAGATGGTTATGTCTTTGCTACTCAAAGTTTAACCAGGATTATCATGCTTCATATTTGGCACATCGTCAGTAGCGGCGATTGTCAAACTTTCGTAATGATTTCTTGCTTCTGCCTATGTATCTAGACTATTAATTGTAGCCACTTGCAAGCATGTACTCCGAATGTTCATGTACACATATGTGTGTGCGTATATTTCTGTGTTGTTATCCATATGGATACCAACTTGTGTCCATAACAATATTGTTCCAGATGTAACATATCTGCCGATGTAGAAATTCATCATACCTTAGACTGGAATATCATGTGCTCGGTATAACCTTTTAACACCTAAATTTTGGACATGTTAGTGTGAATGCACAGTTATACAGTGCAATGCGCATTGATTATTCTTCTATCGCAGTGACATAATCACGAGATCCCCAGTATAAAACTGCCTGTACCCCATGTTGCAAGTCCAGTAACATATATCAGTTTCATGTTTTTGTGTGTGGGGTGCTCCTGATATTCTAATGGAGACTTCATGGAAGTCGGTGGGTATCACATGAGTGTATACGAGTGTGTGGGGTGCTCCTGATATTCTAATGGATACTTCATGGAATTCGGTGGGTATCACATGAGTGTATACGAGTGTGTGGGGTGCTCCTGATATTCTAATGGAGACTTCACGGAAGTCGGTGGGTAT